AATAAATTAGTGAACTCATAGTCTTGAACAAAATTGAAACCATTTAAATAAAGAATTAATAGCAAGGGTCCCAGGACACTGCCCTGGGGAACGCCGCTGGTAACATTTTTTTTCTAGAAGATACATCATTCACCTTAGTTATTTGAGAACGACCTTTCAGGTAATTTTCAAAACATTTTAGAACTATCCCATAAATTCCAAAATGCTGCAGTTTATTCAACAGGATATCGATATCAATTGCTTCGAATGCTCGTTTATAGTCCTAGAAATATATTCATTTCTCTTTTGGAAATTTTCAGAAGTGCCTTTTTGGGTTTTAAAAAGGACTATTTCCCAAACGTTAACCATCTAAAGCAAGTTAGGATTATAATTTTTTTTTCATTGATTATTCAACTTGTGGTTGAAATTAAAGTTACTAGTTAGCAGTGGTATACTTTGAATTTCAATAATTCTCATAAAAACCTGAGAGCGTCATATCTGGTAATCTAGCGGGCCACTCTAAAAGACAACGTCTGCCTATGCATAAAAAGTAAAGCTGGAGCCTCTGGCAGATCATAAATCCAAAACAATCACTTTTATCTACACCGTAACAGTTTATTTCATGTCAGTTTGGTGTTAAAAAAAAGGACTTGTGCGGACTCTGGAACCAGTCTCATCATATAGCTGACGTAACATCAGCTGAGAACTTATTTGGGTTTGTCAATTATCCAATGCGATAGATAAACAGAGACGTGCTTACCTATGTTCACCAGCTAGATTACCTGATATAACGCCTTGAAACTTTTTGAAAGGTTACGAGGATAAAATAAAAGGTGCTTCTAATGAAATTATCCCATCAAAAAGTGGAAAATGATCGATTTTGAACATGTATTGGGATGAACTCAAGCTGGTTTCATATCAATTTTCGGAAATTATGATATTTATAGCTTTCTGGCATATTTTCGAAAGTAATATAATACTTTTAATTACCCAGAAACGGTTGGTTTTGTTTTAAGCAATAACCCAGTTATGGATAGAGAGCTCAACAAGATCTTCTTGATTGGATATCACAAGGCGCTCCTAATCATTCGAAAAAGGAAGTTGATAGCGCCATTTCGGTAATGGGTGGAGCCACACTTTTGTTTTCCTTACTGAAATTTACTATAAATCATGCCTTCTTTCGTAAACTTTGTGCATGCAGTCTTGTCATCATGCGCCACCCGAAATTCAAGAAGGGTACTTTCTACGTCTGCCCTGTATAAATAACGACGACCCTAAAAGTTTTGTCAGAGTACGCTACTGATTTTCCATCGTAATTGCCAAGGCTGTTACAGAGGGTTGTTCTCGACAAATACCGACAGCTTTTAAAAATGATGTTTATGACCTTTTCATGTTTATGTTTATTATAATGTTTATGGCACAGTAACTAAGCTGTATAAAATAGTTCAACAGATGTTTCGTGGCAGTTCGTAAACTTGCTATTTACTGATGAATTTTAGCGGTCAAGTACTTTTACTGCTAATTTATTCATCATTAGAAATTAAACTAGTCATTAAAGGTTTAGTTTCAATTCATTTATAGTGTTTTTATAAAAAAAATTAAGTGAGTATCCATAGTAGAAAAAGTTGTTCGTTACATAACTCTTACAAAAAACAGAAGCTATTACCCAAGACTGTTAATCGGCGGAAAATTATTTCAATTGAGTTTTAAATGAAGGTTATTTTGCGCAAAATATAAATTCATAAAAAACTCATATAAAATCGAAAGAGTTGGTTACAACAAAAAATAATTTCGAATTGAATAACTAGTTGGCCCTTACAAAATATAGATTAAAAAATCTTAAGAGATTGTCACATATTCTCAGCGGTCCATATAAGAAATCAGATCAATGGTCCAACACACGAAGGTCTAACTTAACGTTGGACTTGAAACATTTTTGAACTATGTTGCTCCTCATTATGAAATTTTATGGTATTTTTCCCATTCGTCAAGTTCTCCACAAACGAATTTTCGTTTGAAATATTTATGTTACATGTCATAGAAAAAGTATAGTATTCTACTCACGAATTCCTCGCTCGAATGATTTGTGACGCTCGCTTTCAGTCCATATCGACATAAGTCTTTCCATCAGTAATAAACACATTTCTCGCTTGTTGAATAATATATTTTTTCTACATGAAATCAAATCGTGAGTCGAAATTGTTAAACACAAAAAGCGTATCCGGTCATTTCAAATAACATACATCTCATTAAGTATGGAAAGGTTGCCACTATGTGATAGTAGCGTTTATTTTCCTTAATGTATTTCAATTTCTTATTCGAATTTACACATCTTCTCCACATTACTGCTATCTATTTTCATGATAATTGAAAATTGATAAAGAATATAAAATAAATAGTATGTCGATTCATTTTCTAATACGAAATATATCTCCATGATGTTTAAGATGATAATACAAAAGTGAAGAGGTTAGTCTTTTAGTGGAACCTGTCAAATACAGTGTCTAAAAGCCAAATGGAATAAATTCATTATTTCGGTTACGGTACATATTTTAAGAAAATCTCGTAATACGTCAAATTTAAATTATAATTTGACATACTCCAACGAAAAAATGCTACCCCTACCTAAAACTCTCGTCGAATGACAGGTACAACCCACCATTTTTTAAATGGGAAATGTAGACTTGTGATATATCGTTTGAAAGGTCTCTTCATTTTCTATTCATGTTATCTCTTTCAAGTTTATTGCAACAATTAAAATAAATAAATTAAAATCATATGGTTACCGGAATTCGATAAAATACGCTGTAAACTTATTGCAATATACTCAAAACTTATTTCATGTTGGGGTATTGATAATAAAAAAGTAAGCAAAAACCATAGCGATGTTCTTTCAGATGGTATCCTTTAAAAACCTGTAAATAATTTCCGTGGCAACGTTAGTTTAAAAAGCTTTGGCAATTTGTTACAATATTAGTTGTCAGTATTACAATTCGAGTTTAAAGTTCGTTAACTTCAAGTCTGACAAATGGTTAGATTAAAAGAAATGCATAAAATAACAGTTTTACGAATGATTAGTTACGCCTATTTCATGAGAAATTTACCGCCCATATCTCAAGGAACAGTAAGCAAAATAGTGAAGCAGTTTCGCGTGCTTGGTCATGTGGGGTAGATAAGAAAAGCAATTGCCAATGCAATGAGTGATGAACTCAAAGTTGATATGATGCCTGAGTTTGAGGAAAACCCACATACATCCAGTAGACAGGCATTGACTACATTCAATGTTAGCCATTCATCGATAGTAACCATATTGAAAGAAAATTAAATGCATACCTATAGAATGATACCTACTCAGGAGCTCATGGAAGACGATTTTGATAGAAGAACTTATTTTTATGAGCAAATGATGGACATGTTGGATAACATTATCATCCAATTAGAAGACGATATGTTTTCTGATGAGTGTACTTTGTCTCTTAACGGTCATGCTAATCGGCAAAATCGTCGCTACTGGTCAACGGAGAATCCTCATTGGATGAGAGAAGAATACACGCAATACCCTCAAAAGGGTAGGGATTGTTGGTAACCATATCATTGGTCCCTGGGCAACTTGAATGGCGGTAATTATTTGGCACTACTTCATGATGATGTCATTCTGAATTTAGCAAATTTATATCCTGATCCAGGAAACCCTCAAGTTCCAGTGAATACGATATGGTTTCAGCAGGATGGAGCACCATCACATTACTGAGTTAATGTCCGGCAATACCTCGATACAACATTTCCCAATCGGTGGATAGGGAGGCGGGAATCGATTGAATGGCCAGCGCGATCACCTGATCTTTCATCATTAGAGTTCTTTTTATCGGGATATGTGAAATGCAATGTGTACAGAACTAAACCTTCAGATTTGAATGACTTAAAAGAACGAATAACGCTTGCGATTAGGTCGGTCACGCCTGATATGTTAAATAATGTTAGAAGACAGTTTTATTTGAGAGTAGGATGTTGCCAAGAGGTTCGTGGTGAACATTTTGAATATCTGCTTCTTTAACATCGATAGTTTTTTTGTATTCTACATTTCATTACGTTTTGCATTACATTTTATTTTTTTGAGAGTAATTTATCGAATTTCGGTAACCAAATGATTTTAATTTATTTTATCTCAATTGTTGCAATAAAATTGTAAGCGATAATATTTCTGAAAAGAGAATTAAGTGACCTTTCATACCTGTACTTCCCATTTAGAAAATTGGGGGGTTTGTACCTGTCATTCGAAGGGGATTGAAAATAGGGATGACGAAAGTCAAATTAAAATTTGGATTTGATTTATTTCGGGATATGTACAGTAACCGAAGTAATGAATTGATTGGTTTCATTCATATTAAAGTTTACTTTTCTCTTCCTTTCAGAGCAAGTGAATGAAAGTTTGTTTTCAAAACGGTTTTTTTACTATTTGTTCATTATATTATAGTCTCAAAGATGTTATTATTATTTAAAGCATAACAATTAATGTCAAAGTACAATTTTATATTCGTCTCTCAATTGAAAAAGAATCCTATATGTCATATAATTCAATGGTGTTCACTTTAAAAATAATAAACACTTTTCATTGTATGTTTTCAGAATAAATCGTAGAGTTTTGGGAACTAAAATCGGACCAATTTTGAATATGTTTGTAATATAAGCTTATATTAATTCAAAAATGGCCACCATAATCTCAAGAAGGCTTGTATAGCTGACAGTAAGTTTAATCTTGACTACAGTATTTGTAATCTACCTGACTTCATACATTGTTATTGAAAAAAATTTGGCTCAAGTATTTCATATCCTAGAGTCTTAAATTATATATGAAAATGTGAAAATTATAAAATATGAAGTACAGGATGTCTAGAAAATGAACATCACTTTTTCTGACAACTTCTAGGATGTATAAAATAATTGGCTTGGTAGCTACGAAATTTCAAACAATGAGGTTATCCTCCTGTGAAATAGAAGTATGCACCAAAAAGTTTGCTTACCGCTTGTCTATCGAAAGAACACAAAGACGACACTTTCAACAACGCGCATCCTGTTGACAGAGGACGATGGCGAGCCTTGTGACAGCAAGCTGAGGTTGAGACAAGTCGGCAGAGGGATGATAGAGGGTGGGGGAATCCACCCCTGATGCTCGATCGATCCTCTCTCACGCCCTGTTTTCCCGCGCACTTGTGAATGGTGCGCGATAGAGAGGCGACATGCCCTAGTCCTTGGAGTCTGGACAATCTGAATTATCCTTTGAGAATCCTTTATTTTCCCCTTCCTGGTGCCGGCGGCTTCCTCGTTTTCGTCGGATGAGAGACGGTGGCTGGAATTTTATGATTTCGACGTTATTAAGGCGAAGATTGAGAACGCAAATGAAAATTGAAACTGTCTTCTCGTTTGTATTCTGGAAATGGTCGCGTTTATAAATAGTTATTAGAGATTGATGGGGATTGAACAACGGATATAATGAATTTATATTGTTATGCGTATTGTATCATCATCCCCTTCTTGATTAACATCAAATTGAATCGTAAACATAATGTACGTACGTTCCTGGACAAGAAAAAACGAGCCGATGTTGTTTATTCAAACTTTCAAAAAGCTTTCGATCAAATAGACCATTATGTTCTTCTCAGCAAATTGACTCTAACCAACTGCTTACTCTAATTGAATCATATCTAGTTACCAGAAAACAATTCGTTGAATATGAATCTTTCAAATCGACTCAGTACATTATTACATATGGGGTACCACAAGGTTCTAATCTTGGACCTCTTTTGTTTTTAATTTCTAATAATGATTTGGCAACCTCTTTGAATATTCCTAGCCTACTATTTGCAGACGATCTGAAACTATATTATAAAATCGACATTACTGACTGTCAACGTGTAAAACATGAATTAGATATACAACACATGACTGCTGATGCAAATAGGATGCTTGGATTCCTTAACAGAAATGTAAAACTTCAAAAGTATTGCCACCTTAAAATTGCTATATTTTGCGTATGCCAGATCTAAGTTAGAGTATGGCTCTGTGTTATGGAATCCAGTATACGACTACCAAAAAACATCAATTGAGAGCGTTCAGATGAAGTTCCTGAATACTTATGTCTAAAAGTTGATGGACAATACCCCACGAGAGACATCGATCTTAACATTTTGTTGACACGATTTGATATGACATCTTTGGAAAATAGGAGAGTTATCCTTGATATAAAATTCTTGCATAAATTACTTAACAACAATATTGATAGTACGGTTCTATTACCCGAGATCAATTTTTTAGTACCAAGAAGTGAAGGTCGACACAATTTGAAATTTCATTGCGAAGCATCACGCATAAATGTTATGCTACGATCACCATTGAATTTTATGTGCAGTAGCTTCAATAAAATCTGTCAACAGTGTGATATTCATTTCGAATCTCTGTTGGTATCATGTATCCACAATCACTTTTAATAATACTATAAATAACATTCGTGTCAGTACTGCTACATTGCATGATTTGTAACTTGTGTTATATACTCAATTATATACTCTTTTGAAATTCTACGTATATGAATATTTTATTATATACTTTGTTTTACCATTTACTTCTATACATTTCTATATTCCATTATTGTTGAAATTGTTTCATATATATTCTGTAATAATAGCATTTCCTGTAACTGGGTACTCCTGTTGGAAATAAATCACTTTTTTTTTTGTTAAGTTGACAAACTGATAGGCGTTGTCAAATACTATTAGTTCATCATACAAATTGAAAGGGGAATGTTTTTAGGAAAGATACTAAGTTTGGGAAAAAGTTTTTTGGCTTTCTACTTCTCTATCTGCACACATTTTCCCACATTTGTGGTGTAATGTGGGAAACTTCCAAAAAAGGAAAAAAATAACTACAATAAACTGTTTATAAAAATTTGTAGATCATACATTATATACCTGAACCCATATGATGCATATGTTTGCATGTACATCATTAACATCAATTCATTTAAGTATAAAGCAGTTTTATAATATAATGTATAATGCGCGTTATTATTTTTTTGAATTTTTTTACAACAGTACCTATTATGAATTGAAAAATATCACCCTTCTGATCGTTCACCTTCTAGGTTTACAATTTGGTCATTTTATAGCCCTAACATTATTTTAAAAAAAGTGTCTGTATGTATTTGTGTGTGTATGTGTTAAGTTTTCTTTTTTAGGCGAAACAAGTGCTTCTGCACTTATTGCCATTTTACTTTACTCAACATAGCTATTATTTGTTTGTATGATTATAATTATTCTTTTTTATGAATAAAGTCATTATATTATTATATACACAACAGTTTCTTTCAGATACAAGCTGTAAACATCTACTTTCACATTGACATTGAATAGTAACAAAAAAAAGTCCCTCAGAAACAACTACTTCCACATGAACATTGACTTAAACAAAGTAACATGTACACAATGGTGTACTACGAAGTTTCGGGACAAGACACTTGTATAATCACCTCATTAGCATCGTTATGGATGACATTACAAAACAAAGCCCTCAATCATATGGTTAGATGATTCAATATCGGCTATGGGAATTTCATTCAATTCAAAAATGAAATATTATTAGCAGATATTAGTTTTTTCGGAAAGAATGATATCTGTTTCAGTTCAATAATGAATGATTTGGAGTACAAATTGAATGGAAAAAGTGATTTTTCTGTGATTCAACCACAACAATATTTCCTCATAATTAAAAATTTTCTGTGTCCAAGGCCCCCTGGCTGGATCTGCCACTGTTATATACAAAAATAACTTGAAAAAAATCAAAATGGAATACAATGGCTTTTATATTCTTAGAAATGTGGAGTCTACCCAGATTATAATTTCATGTGAAAACTCTTAATCTCAGAAAATAATTTTTACTTCTGAGTCTAGTGAATAGGAGGTTGAAATAACAATGTATTATAAAATATAAAATAATCATCTCAACAGTCCCCATTTACGAAGTTTGAACAAGAAAAAACCTAATTGAAATTACAGCTCCTTTTTTGGCATTCCATCAGTTACCACGACTTAAGGTACCCCAGTAGTAATGATGTTGAACGTCTCAAATAATACATTATTAATGTCCGAATTCTCTTATCACACTGGTGTAACTTTTTTGTATTCAAGCTATAAATATATGATATTTGTATAGTGATTTCCTCATGTAAGTAGATCATACCCGTTGGATTATTAAAACATAAATAAATACAATTTTCAGTAATTCTAACCTTGGTAAATATGTGAATACTATGCTCAACAATTTTATCATTTTTTCATCTGATCAATATCATAGATTGCTGAGAAGAGTGGTGAGAAAACTGCTACCTACGACCTTCCGAATTATTTTTCAATCTTAAGTACAGTATCTACATCATTATTATCGTTTTTTTTTTAATAAAAACGTTTAATATAATTTTTTACCCATTTTGTTTTTAAGTATTCAGTTTCTGATTTTGTTACACAATTCTTCTAATTCTGTTCAGTTCATTAAGTGCCTCGATATTACAGGAAATATGTAATCCGCCATTTTGTAGCTGCTGCCATCTTGAATTCACATCTTTCTTCAACTATACTACTATTCTACTAGTCAAGCCAATGGAACCCATTTTGATGTAGTTGTAAAACAATATGTAATCTGCCATTTTGTAGCTGCTGCCATCTTGAATTTACATCTTTCTTCAACTATACTACTATTCTACTAGTCAAGCTATTGGAACCCATTTTGATGTAGTTGTAAAACAATATGTAATCTGCCATTTTGTAGCTGCGGCCATTTTGGATTTACAATCATACATAATTCACTTCATTGAATTGTTATCAAAACTTGATATTTTTCACTATTTACATTCATTAAATAATCATCATATGAAGTAAACTGAATTATCAATGGATTTACCTCCCAAACTACTGCAAAGACAGTTGACACTGAAAACGGCGCTCCTGCAGTATAAATTTATTCTTCGTCAGCAGTTGGTTGATTCGCAATATTTCGCAGTCTACTTGCATCACGGCTTTGTTGTGAAAGATTAGATCTTCCTGCTAGCGGCAATGTAAATAATTATGTTTCAATGTTTTGTTAGTTATTCTCTTATTCCCAACAGCTCAAAAGACATGAAAATCGGTGCAGCCGTTCTGGAGTTACAAAATGGTAAAACTTATACTCTGGAAAAATACCCTTATATTGGGTACCCCGTACATTGAAGGACAATCACACGTGCATACCGAATATTTCGTAATTCAAAGTTAATTTTAATAGGAGCTCATCCTCCTCTATTCTGAATTTCCTGAAACCCTGGATTCTGGAGAATACGAACCGTCCTCTGAGAGTTCCTTATTCTGCGTCCCTTGAGAGTGTTCTTCCTCAATTCCTGCGTCGCATAGGAACGAAACAGAGGGGTGACCATAGCACCGACTTTATGAGTTCGGAAGTGGTTGAAGCGAGAAATGGAAGTTATGGAAATGAAAACTGAAACTGATGAGCTGAACTTGATATATTCAAATTGGCCGTATATCTTGTGGAAATTGAGGAGAGCTGGAGTGAACGGAGTGTTAGGCAAAATGACTGTATACTCAATGATTTCTGAATATTTCTCAACAACTAAGACTTCCTGATACAAAATATATCAGAAAAAAACATAAGTAAAATAGATATAGAAAATATATAGTGTTACAACACTTAAGATGAAGACAACCCTGTATTTTAGTCATTTTTGAAGGCAGATATTTGATTTTGGGCACAGGCATGGGCCGCACTTTTCGCAATACTTAGCTCGAGTGATGTTCTCAAACCCAGCCTTCTGCGTTCCTGTAAAAAGTCCAAATTCTCGATATTTTGCTTCGTATAGATGATACCGAAACAAGTCTTTCGAAAAAGTTGCTTAGAAATCGATTTTGACCCTTCATACTGAATTTCAACGCAATACTCAAGTCCGATTTTCAATTAATGGTTCTGAATAAGGAACTACGAAAATAATCAATTCGCCACAGAACATCGGTCGAAATTAAATAACATTTATTGGAGCGAATTCAACAGGAAATGAAATAAACACTAGGATTTATTGTGGCTCAGGCCACAGGTAAGAGTGTGGTTCTGCCAGACTCTGAAAACCTGATACGGTTTGCAGCGGAGCAGGCACAAAGTATATGCTCTGCTGTTCCATCATTTTCCAAACAGAGGCGACACACACTGTCTTCCGACAGTACAAGACTGCATATGATGATTCAGACGACAGTGACCTGAGAGTAGGCCTGTTAGACATCGTAGTTCATCCCTTCTGTTGTCCAACAACTGTTTGGTTTCAAGCTCCGAAGGGGGAATGGACGCCTTGAAGTGAGCCAGTCCTGGAAGATTTTGCCAGCAGTCATTAAATTTTCTTGCCATCAGTCCTTAAATCTTCTTGCCATCCAGGTGTTCAATTTTTGTTTGGCCAAACCTAAAGCGATAGCAATGACAAGTTCTGGTCCAATGAAGCTGCTTGCAGCACCCTCCTTTGCAAGGGAGTCAGCAGCCTCAATGCTTTCCAGGCCAGTGTGGCCAGGAGTCCAGACCAGATTAAAGCTATAATTGATTGGTTGTGTAAGATTGGGAATAAAAAACCTTATATTCATTTCAAAAAATTTAAACTTTGATTACTAGCTACTAAAAAGCCACACAGACATCGGACGAAATTATTGAAGCCAATTCAAAAGAAAATGAAATAAACATTAACATCGAAAGTCAGTTTCAAATATTTTCTCCCTCAACTGACCCGCTATCAATTCTAATGCAATGTTCTGTTCTTTTTCTATTATTATTGGCCACTCTCCCATGTTCTGGAATACTTATTTCATGACAGGCTTGCCGTATTCTCTCAGAAAGTTCCTGTCAATTTCGTGGCCTAGACTTGTGAATCATATTCTTGACAGTTCCCCAGAAGTAAAATTCCATCGGAGTTACGTCAGGAGAGCGAGGGGGCTATTGTTCATTTGGGCTATGTCTACCAATCCAACGTAATGAAAAATGTTCGTTCAACCACTCTCGTACCATCCGAAAACTATGAACGGAAGCTCCGTCTAGCTGAAAGTACATCTCTTGTCTCACATTGAGGTGTAGTATGGAAATTTAAAAACAGCATTTTGGTGAAGTGGTTAGTTGAATGGCACTCATTACTGCTGAGTTAACAAGCTTTCCAACTCATCTCTGTAACTGACTAATAAGTCAAGAGGTTAACATCACAAAGTGGTAATGCTGCTTCGTTTCTATTGGCTCTATCAAAATTTCAGATTATCTGGAATAATTATTCCTTAGAAATTCGGCAACTGTGGGATGAAACTTCGAATTCGAAACTAAATTCAATCCTTCCAGCACCATTATGTACCATTAATTCCATAGATTATCATTTCATGAATATAAACTATCCGAATTGTTCTAACAATGCTAAAATATGACAAAGTATCAGAATTATCACACCTAATGCCTATTAGTTAACTGCCTCTTCTTTCCAAACTATTTGAGTAGGGCAGATTGATCACCAAAACTTGTCAATATAATGAAGTATTTATTCAATCTAATCTATCTTAGGTGAATGTGAGGTACTAGATCACAGGTGGTTAGCAATTTATGAACAATCTGTATCCAAATATTCAACAAAGATCCTGTTCAAACTAGTACACAGAACAAGACTGAAAAAATGGAAGTCCCTAAAGCTCAAAAAGCATATAAAAACGTTCTCACTAATTTTCAGTTCGGTTTATCCATCGGCATTTATTTGGTTTCTCATATTAACGCTTCCATAAGTGAGGTTCTCATTCATTAGCCAAGCATCTATTCCAGAAGGTTCCTTTTTCCGCTTTTGCTATCCTTGAACTACATTTATGATAACTACTGATTATTTACTAATTACTGATATGAATCATCTAAAGGAACAATTTGTTCAGGCCAGTCTTTCATTTCCTACACAGTAGGTTCATGGACTTACACTTATCAGAAAGCAACTACTCCCCTGGCAAATACCACGAAGGGCGTTGGATTATATCCGACAGGTGTCAGTGCAGGATTCTTATCCCAGAAGTAATTCCTGCATATGTTTCTGGCGATACGACTGCCGGAATCGATTATCAATTATTGGAACGGGCACACTTGCAGACCGGTTTCGGGCTATTTGGCCTCTCGAATTTTCTTTAGTTGATTCGATTCATATCCAGTCTTCAAGTATGCCCACTTACTGTAGGTGTAGTTTCTGAACAACTACTAGTACAACAAATCAACTATAATGTAATAGTTTTTCTTTTCCTTCATTACAAACTCAAAAAAATGTAGGATTTTTTCTACAACTATTTACTTTCGAAACATTTTATTTCGTTAATGATTTATAATTCTGTATTATAATTTTTTGTTAGAAAATTAACTTTTTATACTTGAATTATCGAGCAGTCGTACAAAATATCCATCTGCTAGGGTTTTTATGTTAATTCTTTTATTTTCATTTTCACTTATCAGTTTCGTATTTTTTTTCATCACATATCATTGGAATGTTTTTTCTCACCAGACGATAGCTTATTGCCGAAAAACAGATGAATATTTAGAACCAAAACATTTACGATTTTTCTAGTAGGTACTAATCGTTAACACTCTTATCAAGTTAGACAAAGAATTCGGGCACAAGTGGTTGGCTCTTTTGACTGTATTTATGACCCCGACCAGTGGTGATTTTTCAAGAGTTACTGGGAAGATATTTTATTTAGCTGATGCAGGCATTCATTCTGTTCTGAGAGTTCGGCCGGAAACTAATTCGAATTCTCAATCTCCTCGCCACGAAGTTACACTGTTATTTTTCTGTTTGTCGTTTTGTTGGTGTTATTAACAAATTTTATCATTTATAAACGCTGTGTCCGTCTGATTAATAATTCACCTATCACCAGTCCCGACAAAACTAAGGCAATAATGTCATTTTCTTGATTACGACATTTTCCTGACGAAGGTTGACTCGAATTTTATAACAATTGAACAATTTTCATTCATTTGAAACCCAAAGTCATATACATTTCCCAGCACCATCATATAAATCTAATATAATATATAAAAATCTCGTATTCCGATGTTTGTGGTCGCACTCCAAAACGATTTTTATGAAATATTTTGTTTTTATTTTGAAGGTATGAGCATTGATCACCGCTAGGTGATTAGAGTGTCCTATTCAGATTTTCTTTTCAGTTTTCTTTTTATCTGGCATCAAATTTGATAACGCATAGAAATAATGTAGATAACAGAACAACGTTTGCAGGCTCAACTGGTAATTATATATATAGCAAAATAGCAAGCATCTTGTATCACTTCATATAGCTGCATTGGCAATGCAGAATTTCACCGGGGGCGACACATTTAAAAGATTTCAAACGCCTTTGAATGGTATACACATTGCAGTAGTTGATTTCACAAGAAATTATTGAAACCACTCCTTCTAGAAAATAAAAAACTTATAGGAGTGCCAGAACAGCTCACGTGAATCACCCTACATATTTAAAATTTCTGCATTAGATTTCATACGCTAGTATATTGAATGAATTCGCCAAACCTTATTTGGATTAGGTGGACAGCATTCATTGGCCGGATGTGTTGGATTCTTCTTCGGTCAAGTCAAATTGAATCTGAAACCAGTTTGGCACCGTCTGGGCCTCTGTCCGATATCGGCCCGATCATGACATCAAGGTTGGCCGCAATGATCGGTGTGAAATTCGGCTGTAAACAAACCAGAGGTTAGAGGTATAGGTAGTTCAATACCTGGAGTGGAGTAAACATGAAATATGAAAAAACAAAATTGCTACAGAAAAAACAGCGTCGAAATTAATCAAAATAGTTAGTAGGTAAGCAGAGTTTGAGGTGACCAAAGTAGCAGATACTCTTAAAATTCGAAAGTGGTGAGGTTTCGAGATCTCAAATGATATAATAGTGACAAAATTCAATATCAATTTGCAAAAATTCTCAGATTCATATCAACGAAAAGGTCATGAGAAATATACTTTTGTTTGGGATATCTAAGCAGAATGGCAATTATTCCATTTTAATAATTTGTATTCTCTTTTACTCACAATTTAGATTAGATTCTAACTAGAAAATGACCGTCTCGTAATGAACCCATGTGTTTGAGACTTACATGTCTAACAAACATATTTGTTCGAGAAGAGTGAGATAAATATTGACAGCTGTGTCTTACAATCAGTTCATTGAATAGTTACATTTAGGGTTCCGTTTTTTAGAGGAATCATTATTTTTTATGTGTAGGGGGATTAATAAGGCTCAAGTTCAAGTTTGTGGGGTCGCAACCCTTGTCCCCTGACTGCCATCTTGGAAAAAAGGGTGCTTTTTGGAAACCACACCTACTTCCACAGTTTCCCTTGCATCTGCAGAAAGTTAATTTTAGAAGTTTGGGAGGTGCTGGAGGCTTGGAAGTTTGGATTGAAATCCAAGTTTTTCCATGCTTTTTTCAGTCCCAACATCTAGATTTTATTTACTGGGACGTCATTGCAGAGAATTTGCAGTTTCTCCATACTTTTCCAGGATGCGACACAACATCACCAGCTTATAATACAGGCAATTTTAAATTGATCAAAATTTGGCAGAAACTTCCTGAGTAAGTATTATTTCTCAGTGAGAAAGTCGGGTTGCTCACTGTCGGTGGAGAACGATGTCTCCTTGTCTCTTTATATGTTGGAAATGAAGATGATTTTCTGGACAGCATGAAATACAAACGATTAGCCAAGACAGTAAACAAAAATACATTTAACTTATCATCGCTCTCTCCAACAGAAGATGCAGCCCGTTTCCACAGTCTCCGAGTTCATCATCAGGTTCAGTCGTGGCTCGATGAACACTATGATCCTGAAGATTGGGTCTGCAAATGCATTGAAAAATTCGGATACTAATCCAAACTTCCAGGCCTCCAGCACCACCCGATCTTCTGAAATTATTTTCTGCAGATGCGAGGGAAACTGTGGAAGTATGTGTGGTTGCCGGAAAGCAGATCTCAAATGTTCTGTTGTGTGCCTCAATTGTTCTGGTGAAACCTGCAGTAATTTTGAAAATATCAAAATAATCGAAGAAGAAAATTAAATCGAAGATAAATTACCCATAATGATGACAATTATAACTCCCGTAATTCCGCAAACATTCACCTTCGATACTGAATTAGATCCTGCACCGCAGCCTGGACCATCAAAAAAAAATGAAAAAGCAATGGCTGTAAAATTAATTGGAGACTAATTAATAAGGCAATATTGTGAAATTATTTTAAGACACTTCAGACGCAGGTACTCAGAAGAGGTGTCTGTGGTATGAATCAGGATAACTTTGTAAGTATGTTTAGTTTCATCTTCCTCTTGAAGATGATCACTTGGTGATCGAAAAACGTGTCGAGGTGTTGAAGTAACGGTTTGGTGTTGGAAAAAAACTCCAGTAATATTAATTTAATGGCTGGAAAACAACTTTTTAAGAATATAATTATGCTCAATATTATCTCGCCTAGAAATTGTTCGTAGATTAAGGGGGATACCACGCAAAAAACGCGCCTCCAGACTCTACCTCACAGGTGGTGAGGACGTGTCAACTGTAACGTAAGAAGAGTACTTTGAGCACGCCACTGAAGATAACTGCCGCAGTTGCAGTTGAAACATTTGGAGATTATTACTAAAGAAGACCATGGCACAACCCTGGAACCGATCAAAATATTGACGCCAGAAGTGAAAGCATAAATTTCTATATTACGTCAAATGTTTGGTTTTGAAACTTCTGTCCAAAGGCACTGAAAATTATTATCTAGGGCTCATTCGATTCGGAATGACCTCTAGCAACATTTTGAAAAATTTCAAGAGGGGCTCGAGAAAATTGCAATAGTTATGAACAATTTAGTAAAAAAAATGAGGGTGTGGTTTTTTTGCAAATATCTCGGAATATATTGAAGATATCTGAAATTTGAAAAGAGATCCTCAAAGACGAGGAAATTTTCTAAAAAAAAGTCCCACCTTCCGGAACTCTATCACCAATATTTATAATTTTAATTTAGAGGCGAAAATAGGGCTATGTATTTCTCAAAAGTCTGAACTGATTTTTTCACTTCTCAAATCACAAAAAAGTAGTCAACCTTCGCTATCTCTTTCATTTCAAAATATCTCATCCACTGTCTTCATACAGATAGAATTGTGCAGCGCTATGGCAGAATTGTTAATAAATGGTACGTTGACATTTCTTGTTTTGCATTGTTTGAAGGTTAACAATCTTGAGTATTCAAAGAAGATTCTGATGGCTGAAAGTCGTAACTTATGCAAATTAAAGGAGCGGTACAAAACTTCAATAAAATGGGATATACCGGCGAAAGCGATTTTTAAGAACTTGCTTTCTATTATAAGAATTTTTCATCGACAGAAACGGTAAAATTGTTTCAGCCTAATTCAACCTGTAAATCGATGATTTGGCATAAATATGTTTAGAATTCAAGAAGGTGCTCACATTGATCTCTGATTATAACTTTTGAAATATTGTGCTATACTATTTAGGTTCGGACAATTTCAAATCATAGTTTAGAAAAATATTAAATACATTCGATAAAAATGTTCACCATAAAAATTAATAAACATTTGAGTTATGCCGTAAGGACATAATAGATCACTTGTGAATTAGACGTAATCTCGTCCCGTTATCGACTAAAATATATTACGTATACTATATATGTTCAAATACTGCCGTGTTATACATGTATTACTATTTTTTTCATCTACTAGCTATTCCTGAAAGTATTAGTTTCATCATTTTTGACTTGGAAATTCCAGGACAGCGTGCTTGATTTTCTTGTCAGAAATTCACAAAAATTGACAAGAACTTTTATCGCATACCATTAGGCTTCAAAAATGACACGTCGCCATTTCAGAGCTTTCATGTATTATATTCACTACTATAGTTCAGACTCAACATAGAAGAATCTCATATCATAGACTTTCGCCATATGAAAAGTTGAATTGAAAATTCGCCACCAAACTCTTCTTTCAAGACAATACCAATTTAAAAATTGAGTGACAATGAAATTCAAAATGAACCAAACTTCCTCCTCAACTCAGCAAGTCATAAACCAGACTGACCCAGATTGAGTAATAAAAATATAGAAAGCCGTTTGAGATGAACGTGAATGGCTACAACAACAAGGAGTACATTGACTGAAAGATTTAATCGATTTCAACGGTGTTTACGATTTACATGAAGACACTACGGAGCTACGGTGTGAAGTATATTTGTGTTTAGGAAACGCAATGTCATTAATCTTAGCGGGTTGGTAAGGTAGGTCAAGATTGGAATTGCGCTGTGTCATGACATGCACTATCTGTGTTCTATTACAGGCACAATTCCACTTTTGGATAGGTCAAGGTGTCTCGAGGGGACACTTTCGATGTCTCGAGAAAGTTCTGCGTGATTGAATGGCTCAGGTAATTTTAAAAAGTAATTTACTTTTTGAAGAGGTTTTGATCTGACATTAGAAAGACGGTTCCTCTTTTGACTAAGTCGAAGTATCTCAATGAGATACTTTGGATGATCGACTCAGATATTTTCAAAAAGTAATTCATTTTGTGCAGAAGAATTCAACTTTTGGGTAGGTCGAAGTGTGTCAAGGAAATACTCTCTATGACTAAGTTTCTATGACTAAGTTCAGCGTGATTGATGCAAGTACAGGATGACTGGCTTAGGTAATTTTGAAAAGTAATTTATTTTTGCAGAGGTTTTAATCTGATATTAGAAGACTTTTACTTTTGGCTACGTCAAGGTGCCTCGAGGGGATTGGATACTATCGATATCTCGAGAAAGTTCAGCGAGATTGACAGCAGTACAAGATGGTCGGCTCAGGTGATTTTGAAAAATAATTTATCATTTGCAGAGTTTTTGATCTGACATAATAAATACAGTTCCTCTTTTGGAGCGGCTTTGTAGACTGCATATAGACTTGTGCACATTGCCAGTTGCACAAATAAATTAAATGCAGACTGCAATAGGCTGCTGTTTGACACTTAAAGTCACAGTATTCTGGAAATGACCTCCGACTTCTTGCTTCCAACTGTCGACTATGAACTGCCTTATAAAGTACTGTTCCCGAGTAGAGAGAAGTGGAAATATTAAGAGCAGATAGTTGTTGGTTCACAGATGGACCAAAAACACCTCAAGGTTCTGGTGCAGGTGTTTTCAGTTGCAAATCCAGGAACCTAGGAACCTATGCGGCCGTATTTCATGCGGAAATATACGCTATTGAATTGTGTGCGGAAAGATTGAAAGAATGTAACCTCATACACAAGTCAATAAAATGATTCTCGAACAGTCAAGTGACGTTGGAAGCTCTTAGCTCCTACCGAGCAACGTCTAAATCGGTAACAAATAGCCACAAACCGACCCTCATTGATAGGAAGACTCAACAGGTTATCTCTGGTCTGGATTTCTGGCCATACTCCTGGAAAACAGTGAGGCTGCTGACTCCCTTGCAAAGGAGGGACCTGCAAGCAGCTTCATTAGACCAGAACCTGTCATTGCCATCGCTTTGAGCTTTGCCAAACACTAACATCAAACACCTGAATGACAAGAAGAATTATATAATTATGGCAGAATCTTCCAGGATTGGCTCACTCCAAGGCATTTAGTCACTCTTCGAAGCTTGATACCAAACAGTTGTTTGGCTACAGTAGGGATGAACTACGATATTTGACAGGCCT